TTCCATTCCCTTGCTGGAAACCAGTTCGACTCTCATGACGAATTATGAAACCTTAATAACTTATTAAGCGATATCCATTTCCGTGATATGACTCGTTATGATGATTGGTGTTGCGTGACATCTCGTAGTTGTCATCGCAGAGGGAATGTCTATACTTTCATCGTTCGAATGCGACTCGGTTGGATCCATTGGAGGCGGAATCAAACGGCCCGAAAATTCCATCCATTGCCTGATCTTCAAGGCCCACCGCCTCCACCTGCCATTCGAGAACAGGGACGAGAAGCTTCTTCGAGTCGGCAGGCGGCAGCAAGGACTCAAGCTGTGACATCCCATGCAAGGTGACTGTCCATGAAGTCACCGAAAGCAGGCATCAGCAACATTCTTCTTTGCGTGTCGTGGAAATCCAATTGTTTATCGATCCTCTTCTTAACATTTGTTAAAAACCGAAATAGCAGCGAGCCTTCCCAGTCTTTCGATGAAACGAACTCCATAAACTTTCGCTACGCTCCAGTTCCTCGTTTCTTGCTTTGCGGATTTTATTGGGGGTTTTGAAAAAACTTTCAACATATTCTTTGAAAGAAGGGATTCCAGTCCGTTACAATTCGGAACACAGGGTCCGCCAAATCATAAGAAAGAAAAAGCGGTAGTGCAAGATACGGAAATTAATAACATGTAATTTTTGGAAATTCCTGAACATCAATAGTTTTTTATTCCGCTATCGTCACTGACATTTAAAAAAGGCATGAACGCTTCAATTCCCAGTTTCATTTGGACGCGATAGGAACAACGTCTCCTTGAAAATACAAATTGTCCGTGTTACAATAAAAATCGTACTGGTGTGAACTCGTCGTGAACGTGACGGTCACGAGGTCGCCTAGTCCTTTGTCTCCCTACATCGTCGGGGGAACAATAGTCGGCGATAGGGCAGATACGAGAGATAGGCAGGAGGTCGCGGCAGTCGCGGCGGAAATTCGGCATGGACCTGAAGGCGGTCCTCCCCGCGGTGATCCTCCACTTGATCGGCGTGGCCCTCGTCGTCTCCGGGAGCGCGATGCTCCGCTCGACGTGGTTCGGGATCGTCATGATCCTCGAGGGTGTCTTCGTCCTTTCCAGTTTCTGGGGATCGTTGTTTTGGAAGAAACGGAAGGAGCATCGAATGGTGTGGAAAGTCCCATTTACGTACTTTTGTGAGTCAAATATAACAAGCGCAACATACGTCACATTAAATTGCTATTGTAAATCTTGTCGCTTTTAACTGTCACCCCAATGTCACATGTCACCTCAGTTTTATCAGAACGGGCCAGTCGCATCTCTTCCACTATTCAGTATTCAGCATGAGCATCAGCAATGCCCGAAGTCCAGATCCTGAGCGATCGTGCAATGTCTCCCTCCTATTCGGATACTTGCAGCCTAATTTCCAAAAGTCATATTTAATGTAATATGATTAAGATGGATCTCCTTTTATGGACAATCTAACGTTAATATTTGTGTGTTTTTAGGTTAGCTATCGGTGGAGACCTCTACTTCAGTGACGGAGACTGGAAAAACAATGGCCCGAAGCAAGCCAACGTAATCCCTAATGGGAAGAAATTTTAGAAACAAATTTTTTTATTATGGCTTCCTGGATAATATCTTCATGCATTGCAACTTCACAGTCATTAAGTCATAAAAATGCAGGAAATATAGACCATTTTTATTGACAATGAAAGGAAGGCTGCTAAATATGATGAATACATGATAAATATTTAAATTCCCATGGCACGGAAGTTAAGTTCAGTGTGAAACTTTTCTGCAGTATTTATTTCGCAGCCAATTCAGTTGGGGTTCGTAGTCAATTTAATTTATACTTATCTTTCCATTTAAAGGACATTTTTAGGTATGTCAGTCACGCTTTGCTATTTGCAATTTGCAAGCTTAGTAGGAACGGGAAGGTGTTCGAGCCGATTTTTTTTCGTGAGGGAATGTGCATTTCTGTCCATCATCCCACAGGGAAACAACCTAACGACAACGGGCCATTCATCGGAGTTGACCTTGACCTCATGGGTTCCTGCGCACGCGCATGGAGTCCGCATCTTCACGGTGCAGCAGTCGCCGTTCCACTCGCCCGACTCACCCGACTCGACGGGAGATAACTCAGCCCCGACGCGACTCCACCCTCCACCGTCGCACCCTCCACCGTCGCATCAACAGCCCATCCACTCATCCCTGCAGTCATTAACAACTTGTGAAGAGGAGGCAGAGAATCCTTCAAATCAACTAGCAGCCTCAAGAACGCAGTTCGACCTCCCGCCAACCTACGAAGAGGCAGTTAGGCATGCCTCGGAATGCCAACCTCCTCACGATTCTCAAGCGACGAACAAGTGATATAAACACTCATCCTCACATATAATTCTGAATGCACCGTGAGTGACGCGAACAAATTAGAGCTTTTCTCCATGGTATGTTACATAATGCAAAGGTTCCTCCTTCAATTGCAAGTCAGTACATCGTGAATATATATATTTCTTGGATCGAATAACATGAAAGAAAATGACCCCCCAGGTTTCCACAGAGACATATTGGATCTACGAGTAATTGACTTTTACTTAGAAATACTTTCAAAATGTATTTTATATTTATTTAATTTTACCACTAGGAGACCTTGAAAAATGAAAATCACAGCCATTCTTTTTTCTCCGAGGGACATAAATACACATTTGACAATTCTTACTTTTTTTCTGCCTTGGCAGGATGCACATATGGATTTTTAAGCTGGAAACGGTAAAATCAGCTATTTGATAAATACTATGGATAGTATTTATCAAATACTATGGATGGTACAACTGAGAAAACATGGCGACAATACTAAGACGCGTAATCTTGAAAGGTCTGTCAATTTTTTAAGCACGGATTCAAGGAGCATTTTGCTGAAGTGAAAAATCATGACTAAAAATATAGCACCACCGTAGAATATGCTATCCACGAATGTACCACAAATAAAGGACAATTTTAAGGAATCTACTCGCTGGCAGAAACTTGCACGTGCAGTTCCAGTTGCCCTTCAAATTTCCCACGTACCTTGCAGAATCAGTGAACGTTGAATGCCCCAAAAAACTGCCAGCTAAACGAGAAGACGGTAACTTGAGAGAAGTGAAAGCGAAGCAAGCCCAATAGTTCCTGAATGTTCTGCAGGATCCTCATCAGGGGCACGGTCCTGCTAAAACTTTCAGTGCATAACAGATCTTTTTCGGAATTCTCGGGTGAGCTAAGGAAGTTTAGAAGAAAAGGATAGGGCATGGCTGAAAGGATGTCAGTTGACTGCATCCACAGCTCCAGTCAACCCCGCATCCACCACAGAAGCACAATCCATTAACTGGAGAGAGCTCACTCTCACGTCACCGGAAGGTAACTAGTGCAACGTCTATTGTGGAGGCGGATGCGACTATGCTCAGGGGTACAGCCAACCTTGAAAAAACAGCCAGAAATAGAATAAGCCCTACCGGAAACCGTGCCCGAAAAATCTCTCTGCTAAACCTCCGAAAAAAGAGCAGACGAAAGGAAAGTTCTGCTCCACTGGGATTCCTTACCGGGAAAGTTATTGGGGTGTGCTGCAATCCGAGCCTGCATGTTCAGAGTCGCCAGAACCAACTCTGGTAGGAGATGTAACTAGACCAAACCAAGAGAAAATAGAGAAGAAAAGCATAGAAGACAGTAAGACTGCAGATAAATGATATTGAGGAAAGCTGAGTACAAGAGCATCACGGGATATCAGAGGCTCCCCGTTAGCCCGCACGCACATGGCGATGGCCATGTATATATATATTTATTTATTTATTCATTTAATTAATTAATTATTTATTTATTTTTCCAAAGAATTAAACGGATGGATCCTCGGCGCCTGCGGAAAACGAAATACTCTAGAAGTATGGTACGCAAAATTTATTTCCCACTCACATCTAATGTTTGATCCTGGGACATGTCGCTCTTTTTCGTCAGAAAGGTGTCAAATGCTGGTTCCCTTTTATTTCCAGGAATGTGGACGCGCGCTTCCGCTCGCTGCGTCAATACGGTGTAGATACCGCGCGGATCAAGGGCGCATATCAGGATAAGGCACCTGCATGGAAATGAAACAATTTTTTCCCCATTAGTCACTTTTGGAGTTGAATACTCCTTCTTGCCGTACGAGGCAAGAAAGGTCTCATCTTTGTCTTTCTATATTTATTTTATTTATTTTTTTATTCCGCTTCTTTATTCTCCTTTTGCGTCGTCCTCACCCTTTCATCTGAAGACCTCGCGGCCAGAATTGCGGAGCAGAACGATATTGATTGACCTGAATTCGTATAAGATGGTCATCCTGGTACCATTGATATACCAGTTGTAACATTTATACGCAACAGCTCCTCAACTCGGAAGTGATATGCTGAACTAAATTCGAATGCAAAATAAAATTCATGCGAGTAACCACTGCACTCTAATAAACAATTTAGTTGATTTTGCCATCGCCGAATCCAAATCCTCAAATTCTGAATATTACAATTAAAATAAAACTAATATGCTTTTTCCCGCGTTGGTCACGTGGTTTGATCGGTCGAACGATGCCAAATATTTTTCCCTTTGAGGATGGAGTTGAATGAACATTTGTTTGCCTTTGTGCCGCTTTCGCAGAAGTGTAACGTCACGTGCTAAAATTACGATTAAGATTAAGATTAAGATTTACTTCATCCGAGCAAACGGTAAATCGAAATTTAATTCTCGACTTGATTCTTCGTCTTTCCCTCCGATAGGAGAGTCGGAGTCGCCGACGACTCAGCTCATTCCTTACAAAGTAGCTTATTCCTTGGGAACGTGGGTGATGGATGAGCTAATTAATAAATTAGCTCATCCATCACCCACGTTCGGTAAAAGTCCTTTTTTAAGGTGTCGCGGCCCCCGACCTGTCCCTCACCCAACAATCGACCCTATCCCCCTTTCTCCCCCCTTCCGACGAGAACGACGACCCAAAGTTGAAGAAAAAAAAATTAATGGGGCCGAAAAAGAGGACGCAGTTCATCCAGAAGCTCACGCGCAGCTGGAGCAAGTCGAAGCGGCCCGTGCCGGTCGTCGTCGACAGGAAGACGTACGAGGACCCCGCCCGCGTCGCCACGTTGGAGACGGCGGCGGAGGTCCTCATCCGCCCTCTCCCAGGAACCATCACCGGTACTTATTTAAATTGATTATCTTATCAGTAATAATATGTATGATTATTAATTTCATTTATTATTATTATTTTATTTCATTTTTAAAATTCAAATAATATTTATTTTCATATAATTATATTTAATTTGTTTATTTTAATTAAATTCGAGATTCGAGCACGATTTTCTCCCTTTAAACCCTGTCAGCGATTGAGAGATTCGACGCTCACAAGCAGCATGGGCTGTACGTGAACACGATGGACCTGATCGGCTACGCCGCCCAGTGCAACACCGGTGGGGAGAATTACCAGATGTACATCACGGACAAGAGCGGGTTCGATCTCTTCCAATTCGAGCGACGCGTCGGAGGTCTTCGCTGCGCCGGCTGCTTCACGCAGGTGCGGTTTTGACAATATGGCTGTCATTTGGCTGGGTGAACCCTGGGATTTTTTCTGGAACGGGTAGGAGCTGTCGGTGAAAACGGCGACGGGAGAGACGATGGGGACGGCCGTACAAAAGGCGTCCTGCACCGAGGTCCACATGAGGGTCATGGATCCGGAAATGATCATCGGCACGTACAAGATCAGGGGATCCAGCGCACCGAGGAAGGGGGACGGCGTCTTCTTCAAGGTCGGGACGCTGGAGGGATCCGGTTCAGCGAAGACATCAGATTTTAGCGAAGCCATCCGGTTTTAGCGAAGACATCCGGTTTCAGCGAAGACATCCTGTCTCGTCTTTGCTGCAGGTTTATGACGAGCACGAGAGGACGATCCTGGGAGCGATCCAGATCGACTGGAGGGCGGATTACCCGGACATCAGTTCCCCGTGCATCTTCGGGATCAAGTGGCTTCCGAATCTGATCCCGAAGCACAAGGCGCTCCTCCTCGCTTGCACGCTCGCGCTCGTTCGTTTTCACTCCTTTTCACTATTTAACCCTGTGGCGTCGGGGAAGATGGCGTTTAACCATCACCACAGGCTGCTAAATCGACCTCCCTGGATTTACAAAATAGTTTTATTGGAATTAATAGTATATACATTGAAGTTGACGCATGCAAAATATTGAGAAAGGTGCTCTTTGGGCGGTGGAATGCAAGAGGTGCCAGAAAGGTCTTGGTAAAATTTCGGGAAAATCCCTGATTCGCGACGGATTTAATCAACAGCGCTGACAGGCTGCCGTGTACTGTATATGCGGCAACCGGCGCTTAAGGGTTAAAGGGCCTTCGTGCGTTTTGATGATCGACTCGATGCATTTGATTGCAGAACAGTGACTTCTGGGACCGGCCAGGGACGATGGACGACTTGCGCGCGATCCCCCCAGAGGCGAAGCTGGCCCTGCAGACCCCAGAGGAAGAGACGGCCGGGAGCGTCCTGATATCCGGATCCAGCGTTTCCTCCAAAGCGAAGTCATCCGGTGCAGGTGGATCCCGCGGATCCGGAGCTTCTGCGGGGTCCGCAAGCGGTGCAACCGAGTGATTCCCGGCTGATTCTGCCGGGCGTGGTTCACCATGTTCTCCGTTACTCTCTCTCTTTCTATTTTTTTCTTCTCTCTCTCCCTCTCTCCCTCTCTCTCCCATTCACCCGTTCCTTCCCTTCACTCATATGCTTCCATTCGTGTAATGAGATTACGAACAAAGAGGTTATTGGAACAATCGTTCATTATTTAATAAGACATTATCTACATGTATTGACGGTGAAATATTCTTAAATGTGAACACTAGGAGAGCGAACGACGAAAGATAATTAAATACTATGCATTTAACTTTGCATATTAATACCATTAAGAGTGCATTCTTTCGAACCTGGAAACTCGTGGCGCCACGGCAGAGAACAGGAAGAACGTCAGCCCACAACTCCAAAAATCGGTTTTGCATTCGAGGATCTCCTACGTTGCTTCGGGGCTCGAGGAAAATCGCGCCCAGAAATCGATGATGGTGAGTTTCCTCTTTAAGTTTTTCCACGTGATTTAAAAGATAAACAAATATCGATGTTAAAATTCATTCGGCGCTGCATTCGTGCCTTTCCGCGTGATTTCCCCGGAAATGACAATGCAACGTCGGCTGAAATAAATTTGCAGGAAAATCATGGCATCGGATTGCCTCATCAAGCACAAACATATTTTTGCTCTCATGCGTGGGATACATTTCAATTAGCACATTAATTCTAAATGCTCGTCTGGGAAGGCATTTAATATAATGGTTCAATAATAACCAATACCCATCATGGGTAGGAGAAATGCGAAGAAAACCAGGGAAATAGACAGAAAAAATCCGAACGAGTTCTATGCGAACATTTCTCCTCCGATTTTGCTTCATTTCTCTTTTGGGATAATTAATTTCGTACCTTCTATTTATTTACTTTGTTTTTAAATTCATTTTAGAGCTGGTCCGGCCTTACTTGGGACTTTAAAAATGGAACTAACGTAGAAAAACTAAGATTAGGATTAGGATTAGCGACGGCACAAGTGCAACGTCTTAGCGACAAACGAGTGCAAGCATTGCATTGCATTGTAGAGCATTTAGGATTTGGATAATCCCTGACAGTTTTTTAAAACTATGGTTACGTTATCTTACAAATGCGCATCGTCATTTGAATTCTCTTTTTATCTTTTATCTTCCTCTAATCTTTGTTTTTCCTTTCCATTTGTTTTTATCTGTTTTGATTTATATGTTTTTCACTTACTTTGATTTCCACGCAGCAAAATAAAGCGAAGCGCTTCCCCTCCAAGCAAGGAAAACTTTTCCGTTGAAGCTGAAAAGATGCATATTGTTATTCAGCCACAGTCGCTTCGAATGCGGAACTCACCAGAAGGGTTGCGGACGAGGAGACAGCCGAGAAGGTCGATGAAGAAGCGGCTGACCCATGCCTTGGCTCGGAAGGAGGCCCTCGCCGCAGCGAGGAGTCGTGTGGCCGCCGCCGACATCCTCGTGGTGGATGCCGGACATCTCGGACGATCTTTGGCGAATCTTCTTTTGTGCGCCTGCAGGGGGCTCGTCTGGATCGACTGAAGGTGAGTCAAATGCTGCGAATGGGGCAACTTGAGGGCATATGACGAACAGGGTAATATCGCCCTTCACAATATATCCCATAACAGACTAAAAAAAATCAGTTGGGTGGATTAAAAAAAAGCTCTATCAGAGATGGTACGCAGTTGCAGAAATGTTATGACTTATTCATTAATGCAGTGCTTACAGGCATTAGAGATATTGAAATACATCGTTGTCTGGAAAGCCTCAACTCATGACCCAGAAGCTAACATGGACCTTGAGCAACACAAGCGTAAATTTTCCAAAAGCTGCATCGATACAGAAACCGTTTATTCAATAGTATCACACTAGTTGCCAATGGCTTGCATTTTGGGGAGGCATTAGGCGAGCTCTAACCCGTTCGTGAAACTGGAGACGTAAAATGGATCGTTTCCCAATGAATAGACGAAAACTTTTTCTGGGTACAGTGAAACTTAAACTGACACGAACCTTTCGTCAATCTCGCGATCGCGAGACCTGCGAGCCATTAAGCCAAGCGAGCCATTAAGCCAAACTTATCACGAGCCGGAGATAAGAAGTTGCGGTCGATGGAAGCGCAGTTGCGACGAGACATCCCCATGGATCGCAAGGAGGTCCTTGCCGCGGTGGCTTCCTCATCCCTTGGCGTGGCCTTCGTCGTCCTCGGGATCGCGTTGTTCTTCAAGGCGGGGGTTCTCGGGATCCCCTTGATCATTGGTGGACTCCTCATTCTTCTGAGTTTCTGGACGGGACTTCTCTGGACCAAATGGAAGTTGCGTCGATTGGTGCGCGATGAGTCCCATTTCCTGACTGTGTAATCTCCGAGGGGAGGTCGGAAAGTGCGAATAATTTTAATCAATTAATCACAATTATTTAATTAATTTTAATCACAATTTCTTTTGTTCATTTTCTCTCGAAATTTTGTTCATTCAGCATTTATCCACATAGTCACCACCAATTTGAATGCATTTCCTGAGGCGGTGCAGCCATTTTTGGAAGCACTCCCTAAAATCTTTCACGAGCTTTCCCAGCTCATTGTTGACAGCTCATTGTTCCCAGCTTCAATGACGTCATGTCGGGTGTCAAGCACTCTTCCACGCAAGGGGTCCTTGATTTTGGGAAAAATTCCGAAAGTCGAACGTGGCTAAATCTGGGGAGGTAGGGTGGAGTTTCAATGAGGTTGATCCCTGAGGCGCCTATGAGGCGTCTTGGTGGCCTCATGAGCAGCAGACTGTGATCATGAATTCCTCATAATCATAAAAAAATAAATCACTAGCGTGATATGGGCGCGTAGACCATAGATCGATCGCTGTAGACCTTGCACAATTGCAGATCCCAATCAGTGGTGGAATGTCTGCTGCGCATTCGGCCACTAGTTGTCCAATCATCTTTGATCAACATGCAATTTCGAAGGATGTGCCTCATATAGATAACTGTATGATATGATATGGTATATGATATGCCAGGGGTTATCGTGGACATGGGTGGAAAATGGCGGTTTAAAGGTTCGGCACCGTGAAATTCCATATCCTGAAGTATGGAAGGAGTAGTAAATCTTCTGTGGCTTCATCGGAGAAGCATCTCATTCATTTCTATTTCAGAGGTATTGCTTCATAACATGAGAAGCAGGAGCGGGCATTTTATTTGAAAAGAGCCAGAAGGGCGCTTTTAAGATGAAGTCGGAATGGATAAATTTCCACGAACTCCACAGAAGTAAGCTATCCAGTTAGAAAGTTTCCCGCAGGGTATTGAATTCCCAGTGCGTGTTCCAGAAAGCCGTTCAAAAGGATTTTTTTCCCCGCCCATTCGGGTGGGGTTCGTGGTCAACTTCATTTCAGAAAATTGTTTGCCTAAAGAAACAAACATAAACACATGTCACGTGCTCATTTTACTTCTTAATTAGCTAATTATCTTAATTATTCTAACTAATTAATAAATTAGTCAGGTTGATAGGGAGCAGAAGGGTTCTGAGGAATCATCATAACTGCATTCCTTTCGTTTCCTAAGAGACACGGCACGAGGACAACCACTTCAGGTGGGTTGATCGCGTCATCCTGGATGCTTGAACCCGCGCATCGCGTCCCCTTCCCCGCGTCACCGCCATCATCAGCTGCCCCAGAGCAGGAAGCAGCGCTTCCTTCGATCCGGTCGGCCGAGTCGAGCTCGCGGTTCGACCTCCCGCCGTCGTACGAGGAGGCTGTTTTTGATGGCGGCGAACTCGCGCCTGGGACTATGAATAGTTGAAAGAAGATAGACGCACTCGGTGTTCATTCGTTCTGATGTAGAACTTTGAAGGCGTAGTGGGGGACGTGGACATGCAGGAGCATTTCGACTGGTATGTGATATTATGCAGTGGTTCTCGCTTTAAATGCCGATGCTAAATGAATATATTTTTTTGGATGACAGCAAGGGACATAAAAGAACCCTCCGGATCGCGTAGAAATATGATAAATCGCCCGTGAAAAATGCGTAAGACCATTATAATTACCCCCACCCCGACAGGTACATGAACCATAAACATCCTGTTTCTTTCTTTAATCCAATAAGAACACCTCGTTCCTTTTTAAATTTTATTGAATGGCATCAACATCAGCGACTTACAATTTTGGTAAAATTAACTTTGGTAATTTCGAAATGTGGCTTGAATCTCGGCTAAATTAATGCTTTGCATTAATTTAGCCGAGAATGTGGCCGACACCAACCGCACCATGTAATGTGTAATGCGCCCTACGTACTTCACAAATAAAAAGAAAGACGATACCGAGAGCCATCCGATCGCAGGTGAACTATTGAAGTGTTCAGAACCAGTGGATTGACAATGTCATGGGTTCTGCTCCATTGCAGGAAACAAGGCATTATCACATCACATCAAGTTCATGCAAGCCCGACGAAGTGAGTGGAGAGGAAGAGCAGAAAAAGGAGGCAGAAGGCGGCAGTCCCCTTTACAAAGGAAAACGATGAAACATTCCGAGCTGGGATGCCGGCGGTGTGCGGACGATGCCACTTTTTAAACGCGTTCATACTTTTCCCTGAAGTTCATACTTTTCCCTTTTCCCTTCAGGAATTCCCTGCATCCGGTTCTTGATTTCGGTTGCCTTTCTTCGCCCATATCACCCGTCGTCTTCCGATGCTTATCTCACTGCATGCCATGTGCGCCTTCTATCTTGCAATTGTATGCAATTTGGCGGGTTTCGAATTATTAACGATTCAGTCTAACATTCGTAAACTATCGTGGTAATCTCAGAAGAAAGGCTACCGGAGCCAGATCAACCAGTTTTTTTTTTTTAAGTCCAACTTGATGAAGTCCGTGTCTCGCGAAAGCCAGCAGAATATAGATACCTGTAGTGTCCTTCACTTGTTTATTTTTGTATTATCATGAATTGAGTTTCGAATGAAAAAAAGGACTCCTCAGAAGCGAAACAGTAAAAACAAGAAATACTTGGAGGTACGATGCTTGTTTGTTTCTCTGAGGTTTCATGGCCAGCTGTTCCGAAAAGGTTCATGGTATTGGAGGGGATCGGGTCGATTTTCTTTCATTTTGTTGTGATTTGATGTGGAATGACCCAATAATTCACATCCGTGGGAACGAAAGGAAGTGTCCGGTATCTGGGAAGTATTAATATATATCCATAGAGACTTGAAATGGACCTCAATGCACCTGAGAATGTCATCCTTGCTGGTCACGGTCAACCCAGGAAGACAAAACTTCGTGAAATTTTCGGCTACCGGATAAAGTCAATTGAACACCGACGCCTACCCCTGCGAGCCCAGGGACGGATACAGTAGAGACGAGGTAAGGAAATGATTTGCGTCCCAGGTTTCTCTTGGAGTTCCTCATGGATTTAATTACATTTTGATTACCATTCACATAGTGCTTGGACACATGCCTGTCGGAATGGACCGTCAGAAACAGTCATTAACCAGTACCCTGCCGACTCCTATCGATGAATGTGTCTTTGCCGAAGTGCCAAAACATGACAAACATGATCTCTTTAATTAGCACATCGTTCCAGGTCTCTTTCATGAGAGTGCATAAGTTTTGCGCTTGCCTGCCTCAGTGCAATTTTCTGCGTTTCTCAGCGGTCGTCCTGCCTATGCAGGAAAGACCGATAGCAAAAGATATTGGACCGTCAATACACATCTACTTCGAGGAGAATATTATCTAGTTCCTGACCGAGAGCCCAGCCTATGATCTCATCCAGATGGTGGGGGAGTTCGGGGGTTGTCTTGGCTTGTTTCTCGGCATTTCTATCGTGTCTCTCTAGGAGTTCCTTGATCAGTTCATCCGATCCATATTATCCAGGCTTCTTGAACATCATGTATAATATAGATGATTCCATATTGATGGATTTCAGGATGTGTTATAGACAGACTTAGTAGCACCTAATTATAGTAGTTCCTATTATTATTAATACTGCGGATGTACGTATTCACTCTTATTCCCACAAAAGGGTATGCACAATTTCCAAAATTTGATCGATAGGCATCCTTCATCATATACTGTCTTTCCGCAGCAACTCCCGCCGCTTCGAAGGGAGGCGAGATTATTCTTAAGAAGGTGGCACTTCGCCACTGAAGGTCATCATGAACTAGTCCGCATTTATTATTTACTTAGTTTATTCCCAGTCCATCTTGACGACATCGCTCCCACCATGTTGCAATGCTAGACGCCACCTGGAGTGTTCGCAAGTCTTAGGAAAGCTTCAAAAAAGTCTATTATTTTTATTTCAAACACGTCTACTGACTTGTTCAAATCGTTACATCTATGGAAGTACTAGCGGTAGAGAGCTGAAGTTCAGGTTGGGATTGTTTTTCAATAACCTCCACAAGCTCAGCAAATTTCATAGAAATCTGATTGGAGTAAGGAGAGTGTCTGTATTGATTTTATGCGGAAAGACACAATATGCTAATTTAAGCACTCAATAAAGGCACTGCTTGAGAATATGGTGCGAATTCAATGAGAAATGTGTATTCAAGAAGCCTTTTTAACACGTTGACGACCA